GGGGGGGGGGGGGGGGGGGGGGGGGGGGGGGGGGGGGGGGGGGGCGCAACGCTCCGGCGGGCTCCTTGAAAGCCTCGGAAGCCCTCCATCGGTGGGTTGCACCGCCGCAGACCGGTCACCCCGCCCCGACCAATCATCTCCGTCCACGGACACAGGAGGTCTGCCGCTTGGCAGAGGAGGCGCGATTGATTATCAAGAGTGGTAAGTGGTTATCCTTTGGTGCTGCGGAGTCCGGTGCCTGGCGCATCGGGTCGGCTTCTTCACGCCCGGGGGGCCGAACGTGGCTTTTTCCTCGCAGCCGGCCGCCGCGCAGCGAGCGGCGAAGACGTTCACCATACCTGGGGGGTTGTTGTTGTTGGGGGGGGAGGGGGAGGCCATGTTGCTGTGGAAAAAAAAAAACGTGCGCTTGTTGTTGCGGCAGCAGTGTCCTGCCGAAAACACAGCAGAAAAATAATAGCTTTGAGTAATGGTGCAGCCGTACGCTGAAGCTCATGTCGTGGGAGAGAAATGAGGACACACAGAAAAGCCGCAAAGAGCGCCATCAAAATGTAGCCTTCTTAGGCCTACGTTAGCTCCAGCCCGTCGCGCACGCCTCACACGCCGGGTATAGCTCGTGCGGGAAAAGCCAAGCCTGAGGTAACACACCAAGGGTGCCGCTGTTCCCTCGTCACCTTCCAGCTTGTGGGCGTTGCAGTAGTGGGCCCTCTTCTGCTCGACCACACCGCCGCCTCCGCTGGGACCATACCCAAACACCGGCCGGCGCACGCACCCCTCCTGGTGACATCTGCGAGTGACCACGTCCACGTCCCCGGCCTTGCGGTGGGCGGCGCAAGCGCTCGCCCTCCTCGAGCCCTGTCTTGCGAACGACGGGACCACCAGGCACCCGGGGGTGACGCAGCGCGGAGCCGCGAGATTGAGCATCCCCTCCGACCGGTGGGCCGCGCAGAACTGCGGCTTGGACTCCGGCGCGCCGAACGACGGCTGTCGCCCGCACCCGTCGGCCTCGCACCGCCGGGAGGCCACGTTGACGAAGCCGGCGGGTTTGTGGCCCGAGCAGAACTGCGGTCTGCGGGTGCCCTGGGCGCCGAAGAGCGGCCGCCGCTTGCAGCCCTCCATGCCGCACGTGCGTCGCTTTTTTTTGGCACGGCGGCTGCTGCTGCTGGCCGCCGACGTCGTCGTCATCGTACGTCTCGGTTTTTGTCTCTGGGTCTGCTGCTGCGAGTTCGGAACGCTCGCGACGTCGCCGGGAGCCGGCATCGTCCGAGGACCATCTTCGCCGTGGTCGGCGGGGGCCCCGCCGACTAACGCTGCCGTAGGAACCCCTCCCGACAGAGCTTCCGACCGCAGGGGCTGCTGGCTCGACAGCAGCGCAGCCTCCGTCCCCACGTCGATCCCGGCTTCGTCTGGCAGCGGTAGCGCGGAAGGGTGGACGCCGCCGCCGCCGCCGCCGCCGCCGCCGCCGCCAAACAGAGCCCCGCCGACCGGGACGCCCTCGCCTACCGACGGCCGCGGCAGCGGGGCCAGGGGCACGGCGACCTCCGCAAAACCGGCAGATGGAGAGGCATCACGACCGCATGCCCTGCCATCGTGCCCGACAACGACAAGGTCAGGTCTAACAAGCTGCGGCGGCGCGATTGCACCGCCGGCGAAGACCGAAAAAGGGATGCCCGCTGGCTGGTCGGGGAGCGGTGGCGGGAAAGCTGCGCTGGTCCCAACACTATTTCCTACGCCAATCTCACACACACCGCGCGCACCATCGCCGGGGTCGAACGTGCCTACGCCTGTGCGGTTCATCGGCGCCGAAAACGGCTCCAGCGCTGCGTGAAAGGGACGGCGACCGTGATCTCCCGGGAAATGGGCGACAGTAGTTGCACTGCTCGCCACTTCGGCTACCGCTGCTACGGTATCGATGAACGCGTCGGTGCGTGCGCCGTCGACTTCGAGAGCCGCAGCCGCAGGCGAGACTGAGCCATCGGCCCCCTGATCGACGAGCCCAACCCCGCTCCCAGCAGCTTCTCCGGCCCCGTCATGGTGCACCCGAAGCTCCCGCGCCGCCCGCTTACTGGGAAGATGTTCTGCCTCGCCGCCGTCGTCGTCATCGTCATCAGTATCGGTTTGGTGCGATCGTTTGCCGGTGGTGACGCCGTGTTCGGTGGTCGTCCCTGGTCTTTCCGCAAGGTGGCGCAGAAGCGGTACAGGAAATACGCCTCCGGAGGTGGCCGGTCCGGGAGGCTCCTGGTGGTGGCCGTTGGTGACGCTACCGCCGCTGCTGCTGCTGCTGCTGCTCGGAGCTGATGTTGCTTCCGCTTCCATCGACGCGGCAGGGGCCGGAAGGGCTAACGTTGCTGTGGTTCCTTCAGGCGGCGGCGGCCGGAAAGCCTCGATGTCTAGCGGCCTAGAGGCAATGGCGCCCATTCTGTGTTGGTATAACAAACATGTTTCAGGAGGAAGGTTGTTGCGAAGAGGTTAAACAGAGGGGAGGGGTTCAACATGTGGGACTGGCGGAGGAAAGCAATGCTTTACCATTTCCCTCCGGTGGCGCACTGGGTGGACGCCAACGACATACAGTTCTAGATGCGACAACGACAGCAGTGAATCTCCATGGTAGCAGGAGCTGAAGGGGACTACAGTCTACCAGAGGTACACCCGTTAGCCGAATACAGCAGTCACAGAGAGCCAGTCCGTCCAACAAATATCTAAGCGTTGTACTTTTGAGAGCGCGGAAACAAAAAATCGCAATTTTGAGCGCCAGAGGACAGAAAAATGTGCCCTAGGATATCCTCGTCCTGGGTTCTTTTGAATCCCCCGCTCCCTGTCTCTCTCTCACCTTGCCGTGCGCACGTGGCACCGGTGGAAGCAGTGGTCAAGTCGTCAAAAGGTGATTGCACCGCACCAAACAGTCCCGGGGGGTGCGCAACCTGGCGTTTCATTCATATACCTAGATGACAAAATGGGGCTCAGTAGAGAATGATCAGCCGATCAGGCAACGGTCACCAATACCAAACAGCGCCGCAGGCCGGCGAGAAGGATAGCTGGCATCAGAGTCACGGGGGGGAGCGGAAAGGCCTGGATTGTCTGTTATTTCGGTTCTTGGCTCCAAGAAGAGGGGCTAACGCTGGGGGGCAGTGTCGTCCTGTGTCCAGGTACAGAACCACAAGCCTGTTTGTTCCGCAACGCACAGAACACGTCCGTCGTCGACGCAAGGCGTTTAGTTTTGGTGGACAACTGTTGGCGCCGTTGCCTCTATCATGGTGGGCACACGCATCGAGAGCAGTTGATGGATTTTATGTGTCAGTCGCCTCGCATCGTTACAGCTCACTAGAGATTCTGCGTACAAAAAGGAGAAATCAAATAGATCTAATTTTTTTATCAGCAGCAGCGGCAGCAGGAGACCCGGTAGAGCTGGGAGATTGCCGGGAGATGCACCACCAGCACCGCGACCAGTAGCATTGCGGACATGCACGAAGCTAGAAATACCTTTACAGCGGCAGCACCGCTGTCGTCACAACCGCAGTCAATACGCGTTTTGCCAGCCGTTGAAAAATGTACAGAACTAAAACCATTTGCTGCGTTGTTTGTTATTGTTTCTCACATTAGCTCTAAAAAAGAAAGATTGGGAGCCCGTGGTCTCAAAACCCGGCATACACGACCCCACGAAGAAACAGAAAAAAATAGGGTACAAAAACCACTCGGAAGAGAAACAAAATGATAGAAAGAAAGACCAGCTACCGCACCAAACGAGAAAGAGCGT